GTGAGAACATGTGATACTCAGATCTTTGTTTCTGTGAGAGGTCACTCAGTATTATAGACTCTAGTTCCATCCAGGTTGCTGCGAAATTCATGATTTTGTTCTTTTTTATGGCTGCATAGTATTCAGTGCTTCTTTTCAATGAACCAGTAGCACAGCCCTTCTGAAACCTGAGTTGCGTCAGTCTTACCTGGAGGATGACTGCAAGGCCCCACCCTAGAATTCCTGAGCATTTCTGAGAGGTCCCCAGGTGATCCTGCTGCTGTGGTCTGTGGCCACACTTTGAGAACCAGTGCTGGAAAGCATAGGACCTTGGTTTTCAACTTGGCCTCAGAATAGTCCAAGAGCCTCTCGACTCCTCAGGCAACAGCAGCAACTGAAAACAAGCAGAGCTCATTCGTTTCTGCCTGAGACAAAAGTAATCCCTGGCGAGAGAGATTCTCACCATGGTTTTTCGAGAGAGAGTAAAAAGGGGACTCGGGACTCCCGGGGAGCTGGTAACATTGTTTCTTGGTCCGAGTGGCGGCTACACAAATACATTCTCTTTGCAAAAATGTTTGAGCTGGACTCCTACAAATCATGCTTTCTTCTGCCTGTGGGCTACACTTTAAAAGTTTGCTTTAATGTGAATAATAATGTTTGCAGCCATTGAAGTAAAAAAGGAAAAGCAACAACAATGGTGAGCGCTGCCAAAACCTGGAAGAACAGGGCCTCTAGCCTCACCAGCCTGTGCCTCTGTCTGCAAGTCTGCTTCTCCTGGGGCAGGCTGGCAGCCCAACAAAGAAAAGACCCTTTTTCCTCTTTCACTTTTGCTGGCATCACTTCTGTGTGTGTGTGACCCCTGGTGAGTGGCTGCTTCCCAAGCTGTCATTTCTTTGAAAACAAATCCCCGTCTTCAAAAGAAAATATTGTGAATGAAGTAGTTGGGTGCTTTAAACTCCTAGAATAATAGATATTGATAGAACGGTTTGTAAAGCAAGCTGATGACCATCATCATTCATTGAAAATAAAGATTTAAAAAATAAAAGTTGTTTTTTTTTTAAAAGAAAGTGAGTTGAGCTCTCATTAGTGCTTTTGAGAATCCTGCTTGTGTTCTGAGGTGCACCTTTACTGGAGAGTGACAACTTTGGGAGGAAAGGAAAACTCACCCTATATCGACCGCCCATTTACTTGGCAAGTGACTAAGAGGCGTGAGATTTTTTTTTTTCTGAGAGAGGACCAATGTCACCTAAAAACGTCTGTTTCATCACATAAAACTTTTTGGAGTCTTAGTAGGAGGGAGACTGGCTTTGCAAATTTCTTGCCAAGAATGTTAATTGTTGCTGAATCCCCTCTAGAGACATCCCCCTTTCCAAATCATTCCTTTTCTGCAGTTTAAACTTATAAAAAGTAAAGTGAGTAAAACTGTTGACTCCCTCTAATAAAGGTTGGCTTCAAATGTTGGTGAGCCTGCTTGCATTGGGTCTGCTAACTTTCCCATGATCTGCAGCATTGTTGTTTTGAAACTCAGGAGCTAAGTAAGACGCTTATTAGGCATATTTGTGGATGATAAAAACTGGACTCCAAATCACTGCAGAAGACTGGGCGCTGCCCTATTGGAGGAGGTTGTCCAGTCTAAAGGAGACATAGACACTGTGACACACTGTTTAGATTCATAGGCTTTGGAGCCTGACTAACTGTGTTTGAATCCCGGCATCATATGCTGTGTGGCCTTGGGTAAATTATTTATTTCTCCCACCAAACTTTAATTTTTTTTTCTGTTAAATGAGTTTAATAGCATCGGTCCTAGGGCTATAGGAGCATTATATTTAATGATATAAAAAGATTTCAAATTTTGCCAGGCACATAGTCAATGAAAGGAAGCATCATTATTATGAGATGACAGGAAATTAATGAATGGATAATTTCTTCCAATTGTGAATTTCCCAATCCCGATTTCTTTCTAAAGCAAGTGTGAATGAATAAATGATATCTACTGCATGTGTACATGAATAAATAAATAATGGACGTTTTTCCTCTTGACACTCATGAAGTATCTATCTAAGATTGTAGAGGTGGAGAACAGGTTAGTTGGTGCCCAGGGATTTGGGGCGGTGGTTGGGAGGACGCCTTAGACTACAAGAGGTCGACGGAGAGAGAGCTGCGTGCCGGGTGGCAAAAGAGTTGTCGGCATTGTGGTCACAGTGGCGTTTATACAACAGATCTACACATGAAAAACGGCACAGGACCACACACTCAAACTGCAACAGTGTCCTTTTCCTAGTTTCGATATTGTTCGCCAGTGGAGAAGCTGGGGACAGGACAGGGCCCCTCGCACTGTGTGCAACTCCAGGCTAGTCTGGCTTTACTCCGAGTAAAAAGTTTAAAGTGCCTGTGAGAGTCGCCTCCTTGACCACACTGCTGTGTACGGCCTTCCACTGTATCTCCGGTGATCCGGTTGGCGTTCTGGCACAAACTTTGGAGCTTGACTTTAAACATGATTCTGGAAGTGCCTCTCGCTCCCCCTTGCTGCCCCTCTCCTAGGCCAACTCCCTCCTCCACGAAACAAGTCCAGGAACTCAACAGTAGTTAAATGTGCCACAGGATTCCTACGGTATGCAAAGTTTGGTCTTCGTTGATTCTAAAATCTTCTCAGATGATTAACTCTGAGCAGTAGTGTTAAACACAGGCCTAGGTATTTCTGTCTTTGTCCCGCCAGCCACAGCAAGGATGTGAGTATGTTATTAAAATCCTCAGCCAGGCTCGGTGGCTCAGCCTGTAATCCCGCACCTTTGGGAGGCTGAGGTGAGTGGATGGACTGAGTGCGCGGGTTCAAGACCCGCCTGGGCAGCGAGACCTCATCTCTACAATAAATCAAAAAATCAGCCAGGCGTGGTAGCGCATGCCTGTCATTCCGGCTACTCGGAAGGCTGAGGCGGAAGGATCGCCGGAGCCCAACAGGTCAAGGCTGCGGTGGCCGGGAGCGGCCGCTGCACTCCAGTCTGGGTGACACAGTGAGACTCCGACTCAAAAAAAAAAAAAATCCTCTGTGGGTTGAGAAGTCGGGCAATTAGTATCATCGCTAGACGAGACTCTTCGTCAGCCAGTCAACTGAAGAAGGAGAAAATCAGACAGCTTAATACAGGCGGCCTGGGGGTTGTACAGCTCCGTCCCGTGCCCGGACACTCCGTGAACGCATGGAGTGAAGAATGAAGAGATGTGCAGGGGGCGGGGCCCGTAAGGCAAGTGGTGAGAAACGGGCACGGTCTGAAAGCCAGAGTGAAGGGTGAAGCCACCTCCGTGGCTGGTCTTGCTGCAGCAGGACGATCGGCGGGCAGCCTTCCTAACTCTTCTTCCTGCTTCCCCAGGCAGCTTGAGATCCACTCTCCCGATGCCAAGCACACAGTCATCCTGAGGAGCAAAGACCCGGCCTCAGCTCAGGCCTGGTTCAGCGCCCTCCACTCCAGCACGAGTGACCTGCTGGCCCAAGTGGTCGTCGAGGTCAGGGAGCAGCTGGGGAGCTCGGGCATGGCTGGGAGCCAAGAGATCCGGCACCTCGGCTGGCTCGCGGAGAAGGTAGGGAACGCTCGCCCTCCCGGAAATTCCCCTGCCCTGTGACTGTGGCGTCACCTCACCCACAGGCGCACTCCAACAGGCTGCGTGCCTTTGAGTGTCACCGGGTACTGCCGTGGATTCCCATGCATGGTCAGACCCGTGGCAAGTTGCAGGTGGTTGCTAGTTGTTGAGTGGATGAATGAGTGAGTTGAAGAATGGTTTGACTATAACATCTACAGGTGAAGGGCAGGGAAGACAAACTCACAGCAGAGACGTCACCTTGGGAGGCAAGGGCGTCGAGATTGTTGCTCCAAAGGGTTTCTGTGGGTTTTGATGAGCCCGCTCGTTAATAATGGGGTGGCTAGAATCCCAGGATGGCGGGGATGCTTCAATTAGACATTTACAAATAATTGCAGTAGTTAGAAGAGAAACAGCATGTACTTCTTGGGCTCTGTGCTGACTCTTTGAGTCTATTATCTCACATTTTATTTGTGCTTAAGAACACATCACCAGAGGCGATGTGCCTTCTGAGCGAGAGGCACAATGTGAGACAGGAGTGGAGGGGAGCGCGAGTGGGGAGAAAGACTGTCTCAAAGAGGACGGCCATGGGAAAGACTCGGTGTCATATTAACACAATCATGCTGATGTCCTTTCCCAAATTGTGTGATACATCGAAGATAGTAGATCTTACCTTGAGGCCATCTCTGGGGAATTGCTCTTTCTCTTTATTTCAAAGGAGTGAGCCTTTGCCATTGTCCCTACTCTTGAGTGTTGTCCCTTGAACTTGACCTTGAGCGCTCTGAACACTGGAATTTGGAGGCAACCTGACCTCCCAGTGACTCGCTTTCCAGGAGGCCTTGAATGGGAATAATGATTGTTACAGTAACAGCCGTCCTGCCAAAAAACCCTGTCTTCTGCTGAATCTCTGTCCTGGCCCTGGAAAACAGTGCTTGGACACAGCACTCAGCTGTTCTCTGCCACTGTTCTTTGTTTGCAGCAGTTGCTGCACAGTCTCAGCCAGGAGGGTCGGACAGAATGGGTGGCTTGGTTTGGTGTTGTCTGTCTCCTGCAGATTTCGAAGAACCCAAGAGACTATGTGGGTGGTGGGAGCATCCAGAATCATAGCAAACCCAACCGCAAATAGAAGGATAACAGGAGGAGCTGGTTGTGATGGAAAATGTCCTCTCTTGGTCGAGGTCCTGCGTGGACTTGGAGATGTACCATGAATTTCAGGGTCCTGACAGGAGATGGATGGGAAGGTCAAAAGGCGTGATTGGAAAGAATTTCATGCAGAAACAGTTCATAAGCTGTGGTCGAGGTAAGGGAAGCCATTTGGACGTGGAGGAGCACTCCAGGGCCAACAGTAGTGAGAGGCCACTACGGCCCCTTGACCTGAAGGACAAGGAGAAGGAGCAGTTCCTGGAACCTCGTAAGACTTGCAGTTGTACAGAAGAGCCGCTCGTTTCCAGCTGTGGTCTTTGGGAGAGAAACACAGCCCTTGCCAGTCCTGCCAGTCCTGCCCACTGGTTTCTCTGCTGGGGTCCCCAGTCACTAAAGCTGGCTGGAGGCCAGAGGCAGGGAGCCTCATGGGTGCAGACTGTTGAAGTGAGCCTCCCCGGAAGGGCCTGGTAGAGGCTGGATCGAGGGAAGCAGGAAGGCTGGCCAGCACATCCTTGCCCCTCCGAGGTGGTGGTTCCAACTCCTGAAGGTACTTTTCTCTCATCTCTGTAAACACAAACTGTGTTAAAAATCATTACTATTCGGGCAGTTGAAAAATGCTACCATATCACTATTAATGATGTTTTAAAAATCTTCCAAGGATTCCATTTCCTCTCTAACAAATTGTCTTCTGCCTTGGCTTACCCAAGTCATTAGTAGGCACCTCCCCAGACGTTCCATGGAGCAGGAAGAAAGGAGCATCGAAGCTGCTTCTGCCTTTGGACAACCATTGTTCTCTTGAACATCATTTCAGATCGTCCTTACAGATGTGTCCTTAAGGGTATCACACAATGTGTCCATGCGAGTAATAATGACTTATCACAGACGGTCATTAGAGGCAGAAATGTCTTTTACTGTCTTCAACTTCATGCTTCTCAAAAGATTATCACAGACCAAGTTCAAGGGAACAAATCCAAACTGGAACTTTTTTAGAGTAAATATTTGATATGGAATCCTAGTGTGCAGAGATATGAATGGATTTTAGCAAGATGTTACAACAAATGGCATATCCTCAATACTGTGCCTTCACCTGGTGTTTGTAAAGATATCAAGTGTGATCTTATATATATTTAGCTATTATTTACCTTAAATTGATGTCCTTTGTCTTCTATACTGTTAAGCTTTGATTTTATACATTAATGGTAGCTCTGCGGCAAGACTGTACAGATTATATTTAATTTCTAGATTTTAGAAATGGTGTTTATGTGAACTAAAATAACATGAGATGACTTCCTTTTAAAAAGGAAGAAACTTAATAATACACCATTCTTTGTGAGGTGGCCTGGGGACCTGAACAATGGCTTCTAGAGGGGACAAGGGTGGAATGAATGGAGAGCGTTCCCTGCGCTTCAACAGAAGAGGGGAGGAGGCCTGCGCCGGCACAGCTTGTCACGAGGGCAGGCCAGGGCCCGGCCTCAGGGAGGTGAGGGCATCTGGGGGATGGCGCCTTGTACAGAGGGCAAGCCAGGGCCCAGCCTCAGGGAGGTGAGTGCCTCCTGGAGGAGGGTGCCTTTAGGGAGGGCAGGCCAGTCCCAGCCTCGGGGAGGTGGGCACGTCCTGGAGGATGAGGACAAGAGAACCTGGTACTTTTGGGCACGGGATTATGGAAGAGCTTTTTTTAATGTAATTTTTTTTTAATTTGTGGAGACAAGGTCGGGCTTTTTTGCCCAGCCTGGAACTCCTGGGCTCAAACAGTCCTCTTCTCTCAGCCTCCCAAGTGGCTGGGATGACAGACATGGGCCCATCACGCCCAGCTCTCATTATGGAAGAACTTGAAAGCCAGACAGAATAAACTTGATTTGGTGGGCAGCAGGGCTCTTTCTTATGTAAATCCAAGAGAAGGGGATTTTAAGGTGAGGTGATCTAACCCCGCCTTTTCTTTCTGCCATCTGGGCAGGTGAGCAATCTGGGTCCCAGAGCAGGGAAATATTTCATCTAAAGTCACACTCAAAATTAAGATCCAGAAATAGTTAGCAAGCAGGGCAGTGCCATGATTCATTATTTCTTTTATTTTTTAAAAAATCTGTTGCAGTCACTTTCCATTCTCCTTAAACTTTAGTAGCCTTTCTCTGCACTCACTACAGTATCGATGTTAGGACCGAGCCCAGGGTCTTTCCCTTGTTTCCTTGGCGTCTGGGTCCTGTGAGTCACACCCAGGGACCATCTGCACTGCTTCCCCGTGAGCACTGTCACCTGCAGAGGGTCTGATTGTTTGCATCAGTGTAATGCCTCTCCTGTGACGACAGCAGCCTCAAATCTTTGAACCCTGTGATGTGAGTCCTAGTCTGGCCCCAGGAGGCCCACAAATGCTCATTCCTACCCTGAATTGTAAAATGCGTTGGGTCCCAAGGATAATTATTTTATTTTTTCAGTTAATCTTTTTACAGTTGTCAACAAAGTGAAGTGTTTTTAGTGGTCTGGTTTCAGACAGGAGCAAGACAAGCTGTTCCACCCCTCCCGCTGCTCAGAACAACAGCGGCAAACAGGGATGTGTGGGATTGTGGAGCCCAGTTTTGTTTTTTCAGGGGCTGGCTTTGCTTTCCCTCGTTATCTCAGTTTGCAAACAGTTTTTTGTCAGATTAAAAATGCAAAGACACAACCTGGCGAAACCAAAGGCCCAGCTGGGAGCTCTGAGGTGCGGGTCCAGACTCAGCTTTGCTCGCTCCATTTCATATTTTTTCATATGGGAACGCTTATGTGGTTCTGCCTCCCCATGGAGTCATTGGAAGAAAGGATGCTGGCACTTCGTATTTGTTTTGTGCCTGCACTGTTTCAGGCGTGTGCTTTAAATAATCACAGTCCTGTGAGGTGCTGTGATTTGAGTACCTTTTCTAAGATCTCTCCTTTAGAGAGCGGTGGAGTTAGAATTTGAGCTTCTCTTTCCAAACCCAAAGCCCAGCACTTTCCACTAAACTCAGCTAATAAAGAGTCCTGGGAAACATCGGTCAAAGTAAGGCCTCCCAGAGTCCAGTCTCAGAGCAGCATGGTAACCAAAAGCAGTTTCAGGACTAAGAGGTATCAAAATAACTCCATCCTTTACCTGGTTATGAGAGTAAGGGAAATTCATGTCCCCAGACAGAGCAGCGCTTACCAGAATCTTCCATCGCTCCTCTCCGAATCCAGCCCATATCTCTAGTTGCTTCCATCCCTCCCGGAGCGGTTCTCCCCTCTGTCTCCCCCCTCCGCTCCTAACTAGGCCTTCCACTAAACCTCTCTGGCAGAGCCCCTCCTCGTCTCTTCCACACAACAGTCCTCCTCTCTTGCCCCTTTCTCCTTCATTTTGTGCCATGAAAGCCCAAAGAACAGGACCCACAGAGATCGAAATCACCGTTGGTAGGTCGGGTTAAGGGAAGGCAAGTTGCGTACATGCGCACGCGCCCTCGGCTGACCTTGCTCTGCATGTTTCCAAGGGCCACGCATTTCAGGTGTCGTCGTTCAGTTAGACAGCCCTGCCTCTCAACAACACGGTTCACATTTCAGTTACCATGGGTCTTAGACTGGGTGATTTTGTAAGGTACAGACTTGGGTGCCCGTTCTTCAGTCCCACGTCACCGTGTCGTGTGGGCTGGGGGCACTTCCTGCCCAGTGGCCAGTCACACCATTTCATCCAAGGGATTGGTGACTGATTACCACACACGGGTCAGTCACTTCACTCACAGCCAGCAAGGGTGTGCCTGTGCTTCCTCCGTGTCTCCCAGAATACATCCACGTGCCACTTCACAGGAAGGACACTAGCGAGAGGGAGCCGTCCTGCAGAGACGGTGGATTCTTTTTCTTAGCTCCCTGCTGAAAGGATGGACAGC